TATGTTGCCTCTTTTAATCATGAGCAGAATTAACTTTTGTCAGTTTTGAAATGAAATTAGAAGAGAAGGCAAATTTTCAAACTTGAAAACAAGTGTAGAAATGTGTTTTATACAGAACGGCCCAAACCCACTGAAATGGCACCACACGCAGCAGCCAGGGCGCCTTTGCCACTGGGTAATTGCTGAAAGGCCATTCCTGGCGCCCTTCACTGCCAGAGAGACTCCCAATTTCGGCCTTAGAAATCACCCGCTCTCTCACACTCAAACATCTTCCCAGAGCCGGGTTTTCCAGGATGTTCTGGTATCGACATCCCATTTCCCATCCCACATCCTGTCATGAGATCCCCACAAGTTCATGTGGCAGCATCAGGCTGCAGGTTGCCCAAACAACAAGATGGGGGACAACTCTGTGAGAACACGAATTCCATGGATGCCCTCTGCCTCAGAGGCAGGTGAAGCGATTTCTCTACTGATGTCCCTCAGACACCAAGAATGAAGCTCTTGGAGACGGCTACCAGACAGCAGGCCTGGTTGGTCTGCTCATCACATACCATGTTCTCAAATCTCATATTGATTTTCCAAGGAAGGGCATTCGGGATGGATGGTGATGGAGGGAGCAGCACTGCGCACGGTGGTGGGACCCAACCAACTCCATCTTCACACATGGATGTCACAGCCTGGGCACACAGCTATTTTAACTATAAGAAACACCTAATAGAGGGCAACGTCAGCTAAAAACAAGGGAAAGTGAAGGATTTTTGTAGCATAGCTTAACTGTAGGCTGCTTTGAAAAACAGAATCCCAGAGGAATCTCTCACACACGGCAGAGCTCACTACCTTCGGCAACAGGCACGTTCCTCTGCTAAGCTCAGGATATGAGAGCTGCATGGGAGTACATGATAAAAGCTGCTTTGTAGCCTCCGAGATAAAACGATGCCCTTCCCTTTTCCCTTTCTTACCTGAAATACCTTGGCTCACTTCCTGACCGTACAGCAATGGGGCTCCAGATCTTTTGTGGTCCTGACGAAACCTCATCAATATCCGAAAATTAACATCTGCATCCAGCCATTCCCCTGCCGCTGCGGCCGACGCGGTGCTCCTGCCTCCCACAACCCCCAACAGAACCGCTGTTAGGAGCTGGGAATGCATCCAGAGCCTGAGAGCCTTCCCGAGGCTCCTCAGTAAAGCCCATGCAACCCTCGGACAACTTTCTCCTTTAAAAAGCATCGGCCCACGGCAGGGAGGAGTACGAGAAACAAAGTTGCTTTCCTTCTTCCCACAGGTTTTCCTTCTAGGACTGCTGCAATCCCCTAATAGCGTGAACTGTGTCTAAAAGTTTTGCTTTGGCTATCGTGTGCCTGTTAGATAGCTTTAAAAAAACAGGGAAAAGAGCACAACTCTGGGAAATCTTTGTTTCATGCTAACTCTGTTGCAAACATACCTTAAATATCCTTTTAGAAAACATACATGCAGCTGTAAGTTTCCAGCCTTAGAAGGCTTTTGAGCTGAAGGGCAGGTTTAAATCCTGGCTTAAAGCTAAGATCTGCTCTGCTGTCAGGTACGGGGAAGGCAGGGAAGAGTCCACGGTCTGTCCTACAGCAAGGATGCAAGCACGTAGAGGATGAGCTTCTCTTGTAGTTCCCTCCTGGTTATGGCTTCACACTTCCCAAAAATTTAAAATTGCAGTTTAAAACTGCCTGAAAAAAAAAAACAACAAAACCCATTGCTCTACACAATGCAGCCTGAAGGTTGCCATTATTGTTTCCACTTTAAAAAAAAAGTTACCTATTTAAAGATATAATAAAAATAAGGCACTTGCGGTGTGATTTGGTTTGTCTTCGCAGCCTGAAAAGATGAGTTTTGAGGTCAGCAAGGCGTGATTTGAGCAGAGCATCGTACAACAGCCTGTTTGGTGTTACATAAAACCTTGGGCTCAAACCACAGGGCTTGCTAGGGTTTTTAGTTGGAGGCAAGGGCTGGGATCTCACCGTGGGCCCCAGCGCTGCTGATGGGCAGCGGAGCAATTGGCTGCAGCCAGCAGGGCGATAGCGCAGCAGCTCCCACAGCGACTCGCGCTCCTCAGCTTGCAGGCCATGGCTCAAGGTACCTGCTGCAGCCGGCTAGATTCGTGTAAAACAGCCAAGTGTAAAAATACTCTCATCTGCTGCATTCTTCAGTAAAGGTTGGGCTCGTTCTGTCCAGGTTACATTATATATATTTTAAGGGGGGGCAAACTCTGTTTAGTTTTGCAAGTGCAAAAATTGAAACACTCTGACTTCACAAACTTATAACACGGTTTTAAATATGATGCCATGTGTAGCAGCGAGAAAAGTGCAGAAGCTGAGGGCTTCGGGCCAATTTGCAAGCGAGTCCACAGGGATGTTAGACACTTTGCATTTGGAACTGGTTACATGAATAGCAGCAACACAGATGCAGATCTTTTCAGCAGTGCATTAGGTAATGCTTTCTTTTGTACATCAGCTCTGTTTTTTGACAGCTGATTATACACAAGGCCAAACTGGGGATTCACACTAAGCAAAGTTTCACCCCATGAGACACTGTGTAAAGAGGATAAAAACAAAATCAAGCGAAGCATGTAGAAATGTGAGGTTAAATCTAGCCATTCCTAGTTATAGCCTCCAATACATAGTGTCTTCCCTGAAATTATGAGTCAGTGGGCCCTATGTTCTTAAATAAAAGAAATCATGCGGTCTATATGCTATCTCTAGAAACTTCCTTCAGAATTTGTATTTAAATAGTGAAGTTGGAGTAAATCCAAAAAGAACAATAAACATGATTAATGCAAGTGTTGGAGAAACTGCATGATTTGGCACAGTTTTAGTGGTACTAAACCATATATGAAGTTGATTCTACAGTAGCAGGATGCTGGGTCAAATAACCCAGGGCACTTACAGAAATTTCAGTGCTGACAATATCAATGAAAAGGAAGTAGGAAAATAAAACAGAAGCATCATACAAACATTATTCTCTGCTGAAACAAGCTCGTAAGCTCATGTCCATGTTAGGAGCAGCCCTGCAGACTGGGGTTCACCACACGTGAGCTGCAGGAGCCTCTCAGGACCTGTATGAGCAAAGCGGGGAGCCGTGGCGGGGTGCACAGAGGGCCTATGGCAGGAGGAAGGTGATTTTAGCAGTGTCACTATTGAAATTCACATTACAGTATTAACACTTGGCATCTGCTGTCATTTCTCTGTTGCGACTTAATGCCCAGCAGAACTCTCCAATAGCTGTAAGTTCAGAGAAACAGAATGCCAAGTGCCAGGTTGCAGGAAAGGGTTAAGATGTTTGAGAGTTGATGCTCTACAATACTCTAATTTATTATAGTGATTCCTTCCCACCAGTTTAGTTTCAGACTCCTAATTACATCAGGAATTACTTTTAGATGAAGTCTTTTGCTTTTTAAGCAGTTTTCCTGTTACATTTCATGTGAAGGATTAGACAGAGATCCTTGGAAAGAGAGCAGCCCCTACTGTAGGGATTTATTCCCCAAAAGAAGTCCTAGGAGTAAGTTTATTAGCCTGTTGTGATTGTAAATAATGAATTTAATCCAATAATTTGGGGTTACCTGATGTTTCAATTCCTACTGACCTTAACCTACCTAATGGTTGCCATTTCAAGAATTGAACCACATTACTACATACTTCTGCCAACATGCAAAATGTTAATCTTGATAGATTACATTAATCTTTATAGAGAACACTTTCTGCTTCACTTAGATTTCAGGATCTTAACTCCTCACCATAAGGATGCTTTAGCTTTTTATATCAAGAACACTGCACATTTATTTTAATTGGATAACTGAGCTTTTCTGCTTACTGAGCCGTCTGCCTGACATTTGCAAAACGCTGCTTTTTTTTCCCCCAATGTAACCTAACGGTTCATTTTTATAAGGCCTGTCATCCAAAATGCAGAACCTAATCCTTAATTAGTGGTCATATTTGTTCAGATGTTATCCATCATCCATTGGACCAAACTGTTTGGTTTCCTGTCCATTAAATGATTACTTTTGCACTTGCCTATGTTTTATTTAACAGCTTCCCTACATGCTGAGCTCCAGGCTTGCAGGCCCTTTGCTGAAGCCATGGATGCACTGAACTGCCCTCACGGTGCCAAGGTGACTCAGAGCAAGCACAAAGCCAACTAGACCAACCTGTAGAAGCACCAAGACCAATGAGAACAACCTGACCCAATGTATGTAATATAGATTTCTACTATGGGCATTAAAAGATTTTGAAGTCCCTCACCAAGTTGAGCCAAGAGAATATTTTAGAGGCAACTCCCATGGGCATTGGTGCATGCCTTCAGCATGGCTTTGGTGGGTACAGTGCTCACCTCTATCTTCCCCCCACCCCGCTTCTCACTCTTAGATTTTTTTTTTAATATATTCAATAGAAATTCACCTAAAATGGCACTCACTTTCCCAGGCCCCTTGGTAGCTATCTGAAGGCTGCTCAATGTAAGTGGCAAAGCCGCATGTTTCATTAGTGTCCCACGCAGGCTGTGGCTGTGTAGCAGGCCTTAAATCCTGGACAACTAAAGCTAGTGGCACAAGGCTCATGGCGCCAGCATCCCAGCTCCAGCTACGCTGCATCAGATCCATCCTCTGCTGTGGTGGATGCAGGGAACGTATCACGCAGCGTAGCTTAAAACCCATAACTGGCAGGGTATGAAAAACTTGCCTTTTTGAGAAGGAAATGCTCCACGCAGGCCCCGCGCTGAACCCTGCGGCTGGCCCTGTGCCCAGGGAGAGGCCGCAGCCCCCAGGGCTGGCTGTGGAGGTGGTGGCCCTGGGCAGGGTTGTATCCCCCAGGGGATGAGGTGTCACCTCCAGGTGCCCCGGCCATGGCCCTGCTTCTGGGCCCGGCAGGACGCCCCAGGAGAGCCCCGGCCCGCCCGGCCGCCGCACGGGCACCAGCACAGCGAAAACCAAAAGCAAAACGACTTCCAACACCAAAGTATTTTTACCTTTTCAGACTAAGCTTTTATTTTGATATTACAAACCATTTTTCTTTATTCACAAACCACGGTCGTGATATAAACACTAATTTCTAAAGACAGATATACACATTTTCTGGGTTTGTAGGTTTCTTTTTTTTAAATCTGTTTAGAATTCACTATATTCCATATATGGTAGTAATAATTTTTTCATAAGTCATATTATCAGTAATTATTTATATAAGTGAAAACATTCCCAATATATATTGTAAAAAAAATTCAAATGCTTTTCTTACATAACTATTTAAGACATACATTTTAAAATGACTGCTAGGAATACTGTAGGAGCTTTATAAACAAAATATTTTCTACTATGGGCCGCACCGTCAAGCTTTCAAGATTATTTGTAATAGATTAAAATGCCATATAAGCATTTGGGGGGTGGGAGTTGTAAAGTCATTTCATGAAAATTAAAACTGCAAATAAAGTCTGCTATTCCCCACGTTAGACATTTTGTGTGTGTACTTTCCAAAAAAAAAAAAAAATGTATCGTCCACACTTTGAATTGGAAGCCTAACATTTGGTAAACATTTCTCAAGGTGCTTTATCTTGGTGTTTAAATGAAATATACTTTTTTTTTTCTTTCTTGCTTTTTAATAGGAGGCTTGTCTCGTATATCTTAGATAGTAAACGTGGGGATTGAACTCTTAATAAATTCCAGTTCATTCCCTCACTAGTATAAATATATGTTACTGC